GAGCTGGGCGGACATCGAGGTTACATCGACAAAGCAGACGTCTATTTGTGGGGGTGAGGAACGTGTTTGGATAGGTGGCGGACGTTAGGTTTCACACATGGTTCACTCTGTGGGGGAGGTGCTGAATCCGTGATATTCTACGTGACCGAACACGGATTAGCAGTTGATGTCTTAGGGTGGGCGTAAGCCGGCCAACCGTGAACGTAAACCTTCGTAGTGAGCGTCCAAGTCGACATGGCGGTTGATGCTACTGTTATTAGAGCTCCAAGGTTTTTAGAAACTCTCGCGCCTCTTTGGCGTTGGCCCTAGCGATCACTTCAGTCCCCTCCCAGTTGAAGAGGTGATCACACTCAAGGGCGTGCGCGAACACGAGACACAAGGTGTTCCCGTCGTTAATGCGGGTCCCAGGTCGTCGGCCGGTATGCCCAACATAAACGCTAGAGCAGTTTACACATGGAATGCGGTAAATGTCATTTGTTTGCTGCTCCTTCGGTATATTTGCATTCTAAGTACGGCACAGGCCCTAAGACATTTTTCCGGCTCTCCCGTCCTGTAAGCATTGGAACTTCGTTGCATTAGGGTAGAACCCGGTGTGTGACTTCATGGCAAAAAACTGAAAAATGTAGGAGGCCGGCAACATTTGGGAAAGAGCTTCTCACCAAAGTGTCCCCCAAGCAATGTACCGACCTCGAAGCCCCCGAATTACATTGCGACGCACCCGAACAAGGAGCTTTTGAGATAGTTTTCCGTGTCAAGACCGCTAATTTCGGCTACTTTGATGCCTGCTGCATGTTGGTAGTGCCATTTTGATTTTGGCCACCGACGCTGGTCGGATGGCAGTGTCTTGTCTCGGCCAGTGATTTGTCTGGACGCCGGTGAAGGATGTTGCCCTCGTCGCTCGATTAGGGACTGTGTTCCCCTTATTTGCTTTTAGGCCTAATTAACACACCCATTCAGACTGTGTTCATCATATTTGAAGCCCTGATTTTTCAGACGTCGGCGACAATCTGGATGTCAATCTGCAGGCTGCACCGCCCGGTCTGATCTCCGCGTTTGGACAGGCCCAAATCGCCGTGGGTGCCTGGGAGACGGATTCCGCCCCTGCGCGTCCAGAGGCCTTCCATCTGCCGGGTGATCGGGATCCTGGTACCGTGTCCGACAGTTATTACTACGCCCACGAGGATGATGCTCGTTACGATGACCGTCACTACGCAGAACATGACGAGCCGGGTATGTGGTGCCAGTTGGTAATCCTCTTTTCTTTACTCCGCCTTGAAGGATTGTTCCAGAGCTGACGTGAGTTGAATGTCCTATCGGAGATCGTCGGTTGCAAGCGACGAGGACAGCTTCCGTCGGGGGGGAGGGGGGAGGAGGTGCAGTTATGACTTCGCCTGGGCGTGAATAGAGTGTTCGTATGGGAGACTTTCTCAGCACCTATCACAGTGTTTTGCTACGTTTAACCTGTCGTGCTGACCAGATAACGTCAAGATGACTGAGAATTGGGTCTTAGTGCAGTTTTTAATATGTCATGGAGACTCCTTCTACGCAGAATGTTACTATCGACAAAGAAAAGGAAGACTGGAATGGCCACTTCTGGCCTATTAACCATCTTCAGCCAGTCATACCCAACCCCGAGGTAAGCAACACCTGTCGCGAGTTCGAGCCACAAGCGTTCTACACCTCGTGGTTGGTATGACTGGCCGACGAAGGCCAATAATCTAGAAATGGCCATTCCAGTCTTCCCTGTCTTTTTCGGCAATAACATTTTGCCTATATCACGCGCCGCTGTGCGACTGCTGGTTGGGCTCGAGAGAGAGCCCGTAAGGCACAAAGGGACGAGCGAGTTCCTCAAGAACGATCGGTGAGGACTTTTTCTACGCCTGTGTTGGCATATGCACACATTAACCGAGCCCCATCGAAGTCGGCACGCTTCCCCTCATGATGCGTCATCGAGGCCGCTAACTGTCGTCCTGTTGCCTAGATGATTATGGCTTCCGATTGAGTTGAACTGCTCAACCAATAATTTTTTTGCTCTTTAGACTCCGCCAACGACCACGAGCCACCTGCCTTGGAAAATGACCTCCGCGAAAACACCTCAGATCAACACGCCTTTACCTGAGTACTCTGCGTCGATGTACTGCTCTTCCAGAGTTTCACCTGCATCTTGGAAAAAAACATCGAATTTATGCAATCCAAACCCCTCTATTCTGAAGATCAGGACAATGGAGACGCTTCTGCCTGCGTTGCTTTCTGTGAAACAAAAACTACCCCCCCTCCCCCAATTGGAGCATATGTCTCCGCTCCTACGCTCCGCCCCCTGATTTCAATGCCTGTAATATACTGTTGTGGGTTCATCACTCAACGCCCGCACAGTTCCTC